AAAATTCGTAGTGAACCCGTTTTACGTAGCACACACCATACTTTATTAGCCAGGAAAAGGAATTCCGACTGTTTACGCCCTGCGGCGTGTTCTATTTGTATCTATTCTGTTGTAACCACGCACCGCCCCGCTCCACCCCTCTCTGCCTTGCTCCCATCTGGAAATACCATGTGTTCCTGAATTTTTCACTTAAAAATATAGTTGTGTTTTTCTTTTTGGGGTTCCCGCCTTCCCCCATTTCACTTTCTTTTTAACCAGCCTTAATAAACAAATCTAAACAAAAAATATAATGCATTAACCTACGTATATTCCTTTTGGGAAATTTATGTATTGTACTAATACTTACAATCAATTGCCAAATTTACTTTTTATTTATATTTTTTCTCTTCCCGCGTATTTATAAAGAAAAGTTTGATATTTCTCATTTACTTCAATTATAATTCTTATTCTCGTGAATTTAAATAATAATTTATTCACCGTCTTAAGAAACGCTTTCACTTTCCCCTACATAAATCACATTCCTACAAAAATTCGTCCGTTTGTTACAATTTCAGCAGAACACGTAAATAATTCACAACATGTCACTTTCCCTCCTTCAACTTGCAAATGCACAATAATCATGCTTAATTTATTACCACTAACCCAATTCATGAAGGAAACGTGTGCATTCACATCTTTTTTACGAGATCATGCACATTTGTCAGCGAAATGATACTTTTATGTCTCTTCGACACTTAATACATTCACGTCTAGACACAATTAAAATCAATATCCAAGTTACTTGTATATAAGGAGAAAATAAAAACTGTCATTATCTTTCTTAAATATGAACATACCAGATTATACACATGAAAGTAAAATTAACAATGTTCTCTCTAAGGAGGTTATATTGTAATATATTATTATATTGGTTATAATATATTATAACCTCTATGGTATTTTCTGTAGACGCCTAATTCTGTGCATAGATGAACTCAATCGTAGATCTCAGTCTTCATTCTCTGGTGGAGCGGAGCTAAACAATTGTAGTACATTGATTGCACTTTTGAATCTGTGATATAATGCTAAGCAAAAAAAAGTTAAGTAAAGTAATTATTTTGTAAATATATTAAAGTTTAAGATTTCAAATCATAGCCTATAGTACTCTAGACATTTAAAGGAAGCTAGCACAAAAATTTCATCGGTATTGATTCAGTAGATTCAGAGAGAATCGCGCTGTAATTCAACGCATTTGTCTTTATATATTAGTGTAGATATACTTATTAGCAACACGGAACAATAGTCTAACGCCCATTCACATGGTCTGATTTGACGAATGGGAAGCGAAGATACTTGTAAATAATAAATCTTGTTGAGGAATGTGGCGTCAACACGACTAGCAGGCTACAGCGACCAAAGTCATTTGAATGCTTTCGACCATACAGGTGACTACGCGGTTAGTTTGTATTGTCGACATGTCGGTCATCGTAACGTTACTTTCCTCGGGGCTGAAATGTTGCATTACAGCCCTGAGTATTTCACTCGATCAGCAGAGAGCAATCGAATCAGAAAATTGTTTTCTTTTATATTTGGAGAGAAATACTGTGATGTTTCTAAGGTTTAGACAGTATCTTTCGGTAATCCTGTATGAACTCTACAAACAAACATTTTCTCTTCTGCATGCATCTGCTGTATGTATCATCTTATATGAAACGACCATTATTTTTAAATGATGTTAATTCACACACATTTTTCATAATAATCTTATACTGAAATGTCAGAATGGATAACTCAACTTCACAGTCCAACTTACTGTCCCTCCATAATTCACGTAATCGAAGCTTAGATCTTGTCTCGATTGGGGGGCGGTGTCCCGCCGGGTGGAATTCTTACAGGGGGTACACCCGCAAGTCGACAATAAAGCGCAGCGCCGGATCTCATAGTCCAAATAGGAGGAACACCGCCGCCTCCTTCCGTGATTTAACATACACTAAACTTACGGGACCAATGCCCAACGTAGTTGACACGTCAGGAATCAAAATTCAACCGAGGGTGCGTTTTATCTGAACATCGGAAACTCTGACTTAGGAATAAAATCAGCGAATTTTTTGGTTGTGACCTTTGTTGACAAGTTTGAGGGGCCGAGGCAGCAGCAATGAGAGTGCGAAACAAAGCTCGGTGTAGCAGGGAGGCTGTTGTTCGCTCCCAGAGTTTGCTTGCTACCGCAGCGAGGGAGGGCGAGCGGCGGGCAGTGCACGCGGGGGCTCCCGGGCGGAAGACGCACGACATGGGCGGGCGCCGAGGGGCGTCGTCGGCGAGCGAGCGTCGCGGCGGCGGAATGCGGATGCGCGGAACGCCGCAAGGCGCCATTAGTCCCATCGCTTTCTCCCCATTAGGCCCCGCCGCCCTGCGTCATCCTGCCCCGCCACGGACACGGCGGCTGATACATGAAACGGGGGCCCATAAAGCTTACAGCAACTCGAACGCCGACGGTAAAGGATTTTCGGCACTGGGTTCATAGGTGGGACGAATTCACGCGCCGCCTGGAGCTTCTAGTGGTCACCTGCCCGGTAGTTATATGTCGTTTCTCTAATCAATACCAGGTGAATGCCGGAATGGTGCCCTGACAAACGGGCCACAGATCGTGCGCATTTGTTCCTTCTTCGCGTTGACCTCTCTTCTTCCATTTCTCCCCTTACACCCATCCACCCACACATACACGCACTACTCTACCACACATGTCAGAAGGCGAATAGGGGATCTTAGAGCTTGTTCGGGCTGGACGCAGTACCCCCGCGGTGGGAGATAACTGGTTGGGTGAAATCCCGCAAAGCGACTGGTAGATCGCCGCCGGATCTTGCCATCAAGCGACGGAGGATCTTCGCCACCACCCGTTACAGTTGACGCGCCCGGAAATATCATTTAATCATTCAACAAATTATATAGCAGTTTCGAATTTTAGAAACTCTAACTTCAGGTATAAAATCAAGGATTCTCTTCATTGTTGAGATTATGCCTCTCAGTTGTAGTTCCCACGCACCCTACATATTTCAAAATTAATCACCGATTTAATCGAGGAAAAACTCACTTAATATGAAATGTAGAGTTGCTGGTGAAATTAACGTATTTTCATCTTAACAACTATCTTTGGATAATAAAAATCAAAATAATTAAAAAAATAGTTGAGCAGTTAAAGTTGGTAATTAAATACACAATAATAGGGGCATGGCCTCTTTTAAACAAATACAAAGAATGTAGTGTATTTAATCTGGAAATAACGTGACTTTCGGTAGTGTCCAAGTACTGTAATTGGATGAGATAAAATTTGAGATAAAATATTTGAAGAGGAAAGAGAAATAATTCACAAATTTCAATAAATTCATTACTCTGGAAGGCCACTAGGTGTCCTCATCAGTTACGGATATCGCGACTTTTATTGGAATTATGTAGGTGGTATTTGTATCTTTGGAACAACATACTACATTTACAATTACTTTAGATTCGGATGCCATTTTTTTCATGGAAGGGATGGCGATTCTAAAAGAGGAAACCCCGATTATATCGTTGAGGCAATGTCTGACGAATTTGGCGGCTTCTGTGTGAAGAATAAAAGGGATGTTTCAATAAAAGTCTAAGTAGGCTTTAGCAAAGCATGTTGTATTTGGTCTAGTGCACAGGATATCCTTTCGTCTGAACTCAATAAAAAGGCGGCGCTGCTTTGAAAACAATTGTAGTAATACATGCTTGATTAAAACGAATTTCCTTAGATGGGGCAGTAAGGATACGCTTAACAAGTGTAATTATTAATTTAACGGACAGCTTTATCGTTTTCATCAACTTATTTCTGTTAGCTTTAACATATTTTGCAACACTGTTTATGATTGTGATATTAAATAGAGAAATGTACTTTTCGTCTTGCGAGACTCCAAGTAAACCGACATATGGCATAAATATTTCTAACAAATACATTTCAAATGAAAGGATCTTGTTTTGTCTGGATTCTAGCAGTGCTGTGTAGGTTACGTTCCCTGCATTTTTCGTTGCATTTTTTCTTGATTTGTTCCATCATGTAATTTAATTTCAATTGCGTTAAATTTGGAAATTTTAAGTGTAATTTTCATTTCGTCAGTTGTATAATAAATTCAATATTTTAAAAGGTTTCTGCTCGAGCACATTTACAACCCTCATTATTGAAAAGGCAATGGTAATTGACTATGACTCTTGTAATTATGTACTTCACGAAGGCATAATTTATATTTCAATTTGTTTTTATTCATTCCGAACGCATACATTATCTTAACGTGAGAAATGAGAGGGTACTTCTGTTTAGACGAAAGGTCTCTGACCTAACCGCAGCAACCACTGAGCCACAACCGCGAGTTAGACAAGTTCAGACTCTTCAACTTCATTGTTTTCGGGAATTTTTCTACATATGCGAATTTTTATACATACAGGTCGTTTCGTTTTGTCTTCACGTATGTTGCTGTGATTATTCCTTATCAATCTTTCCAAAGCATCACCCCCTTATGTGGACGAATTTTACCGGCAAAGTGAGTTACAGTTTTTGACAATTCGCAGAGTTGTAGCCGAGAGACTCGTAGTCCAACAGGCGGAATTTCTAATCAACGTGAAAATCGTTTAACGTGAAGAGGTGATAGAGCGGGGCAAGGGATGGTCTGGTCGAGTTAGTCTGTCGCGTCGGAGGCTGCCGGCCGGGCAACTCGCAAATGGGCTGCGGCCTCGCCCCCAGGGAGCGGGGCAAGAAAGAGGGCACGGATCGGGGCGGGAGAAGTGGAGCGAGGCGCGGCGCGGGGGTGTGGAGCGGGTGGAGGGGAAGGACCGGGATGGGTCGGGGTAGAATGAGGCAGGGCGTAGCGATGGGGGC